TTCCCTTTTGCACGATATTCCTCTTGCATCCTCCTCAGAATAAACACTGCATCAATTGTTCCTTTCCCTGGCATAAAACCAAACTGCATCTCGTCCACTTCCACTAATTTCCGGATTCTATTCACTATCACCCTCTCCACAATTTTCATTGCATGCTCTAATAGTTTCACACCCCTATACGCACCACAACTCTTTGCATCCCCTTTTCCTTTAAAAATTGGTACTACCACACTCAGGCATTCCTCTTCCATCTAACACTCTCTGGCATAACTCCATTATCACACCAATCCCTATGTCTCCACTTGCAAAAATCATCTCCGCGCTCACTTCAGAGGGTCCAGCAGCCTTTCCAGTTTTCATGTCTCTGATTGCCTTCACTACTTCTTCTCGACTCACTCTTTCAACTGGCCCCTCCACCAGATCAGCCTCCACATCCTGATCCCACTTTAATGTTAAAAACTCATCAATAACGCAGATTTCTGCAATTCTGGAATGGGATCTCTATCATGCATAGATTTTGTTCAAAACTTGGTATTCACACATTGAAAATTATGGAACCTTAATGCACATCATTCTTTGTCATATTAGATTCAAAATGGCCGACAGCTGGTCATTTTGTTTTAGTGAATGCAGTTAATGAGCAATATCTCCGACTGTTCAAATGTTCAAACTTTATATATTCTTTAAATTTGAGAATTCACAGGGACTATGTAATGTAATTACTTGTTTTAGATATGGAATGATTGACACTTTTCAATTATTGATTGACAAGTACAGGAAAATAAAATGAAGTAACAAAACTTCTTCATTGATCTGGTTTTATTAATAAACAAAATACATTCAAAACTTTTCAAAATTTTTTTTTTCTTTAAATGAAAAAACATTTTTTCAATGGCTCAAAATATGACAAGTTTGTTCTCATTTTTACATTGCTTTCAAATCAAATACACAAAGGTTGCTTAAATATCAGTTGTATAAAAAGATTCTATTCTACATCTATCATGATATTTGGTACAAATCTGGTACTAACTAGCGCAACTTTAAAACTAATAATTTGAAACTAATAACTACAACACAAACACATTAAACTCCATCACAACACTGAATTTTTCCAACAATTGCATACAGTACTAAAATTCACAATATAGCAATCCTTGTTATTTTACAGTTATTGTAGTTCCATCAACATTGGAAAAGTTTTGGTCCAGTTAAAAAATGCATCATATAACTGACACATTAATAACATTAAATTGTGGGTGGAAGAGCAGTCCACAGATTGGTCTCATTTATTTTTATACGGTACAGGTTTTAATAACGCTGTTTTCACTGGTAATTAAATTTTTTTAAATTCATGCTCACATGTATTATAGAACCTGTTTCACTGGAAAATCTGTGAATTTAAACCCAGTGAATATTTTATTTTTTCCATTCAATGAAATCTTAAGCAGAGTGTAGCAATCAATGACTTTTGGATGGGTATCAACAGCATAGGTACAACACTGACATTAAAAATTCAATTATAAAACAAAGTCAACAGCAGAAAAAACACTTGTAATTGTCCAAAAGAAGAGATAAAGCATTGATTTAGGAATGTGGACTAGGAAGGTCAGCTGACGTCAAACCTGAGTGGTGGGTACCTTAACAGCACAAGCTAATTAGAATTCAAAGAGACTCCAGTTTTCAGAGGAGTAGTGAAATTTAGCTGACAGTGTTGATAATCTCATAAGCTTTGCAAATAAGCACAATACCATCCCTGATACATGTGCATGTAAATTGGAATTCTCTTGTTGAAATGGCAGTGTGGAAATAAAATGATTTATTGTCAAAAGCAAAACTACAAAATTTTATCACAGGAAGGTTTGGTTCAAGTTTACACAGGAAGGTAAGGTTCAAGTTAGGTTCAACACTTCAGACATCCTTCCATCTGCAACCAAGATAGTTTCATATTATTCACACTAATCTATATCCATCTACTTCACCCCTCTCTCCCTCAAACTCAAATGATTTAGTCTGACATAAACAAGATACCAACTAGTGCATCTCATACACTGACTAACCTAAAATAAGGTCACTACATTCTTATCAATGAATGATTATTTAGGAGTGAATGGGCCAGGACTTTTAGGAGGATTAAAATTGCTTCTATGTTTCAGTATTCCCACTAATTGTCATCTCAACGTCTCTGTCTTCAATCAGAGGAGAGCAAATGTTTGGTCTCAACTTCTTCTGAGTGTAGAAGAGAATGTATGCTTGGCATGATGTCACGTCTTCAATGGAACAGAGATCGAGTCTTGAATCGTTGCAGTGGACCCAAAAACCTGAAATATGAATTGTATAAACATCTGGTTGATGAAAAGTAATCATGAACTTGCAGTAAATGAATATAAAACAGCACAAACATGGGACATTTCCTCAACAGAAGTTTAAACAATGTTTTGCAACAGTAAAATATAATTGCTTTACATGGCTTATCTCCAAAGTTAGCTGAAGAACTGACAAAGACCATCCATGTCCACAGAGCCAAAGAACTAACATGCTCAGAATTTTCATTTCAACAGCTTGTAATAGACCTCTACATTATTACCACCACTGATCACAACAACTGAGATTGCAAAGACCCTGATATTCTTCAGGAATGTTCTATGTATCAAGGATGAAACTGGGTCACCAACACCTGATGAAGTCAAAAAAAAAAGGGCATGGCTGAACGTAAAAGAATTCAAACCTACCTCCTTGAGCATTCCAGCAGTAAGCAGTGTAGTGACCAGAACCAAATCTAGAGATTAAGACAACAATTTTTTTTTTTCAAAAGGCATAATTTTGTTATTGAGTGTACATGATAAGGGAGTACTTATAATTTAACTACTAACCCAAAGTAAAAGTCATACTTATAACTCGATTTTCCCACAATCCAATGAGCTCTTCTAATGAAAAACACAAATGTAAGTTTTGACCTGGACGCGACTTGCACTAAATATTGCCGGTGACTCCTTTGATACCTTCCACTCACCTAAAAATATCTAATTAAAGCTTGTATTCGTTATCTGCGCAACAGTCATAATCGCCATCTTTGTTTATATGAGACCCATATATCTCGCGCATGCTTAAAACCTTTATAGCCGTTGATCGTAGCGACATTTTAGACGAACAAATGCACTTTTCACTGCTCCTTATACTTACCCCCTGCCATGGTGTATAACCACTGCAGCTAGATCATACTCGTAATCAAGTGGTTCACAGCCAAGACTGGGTGAACAAAACGGTTTCATATCTAACCTCTGACTGAAATCTACATGTACATTAATCTTCTCCCTATGCATTCGACCAGACCAACTAGAATGAAATATCAAATACAACAGAATATGTTAGGATTCTGTATGCGCACAGTTTAATCTTGAAACCCTTTAAAGTGTGAGGATATTCTTGTTTTTTTATCCAGTGGGATTTTGGGACATCGAGTGACAAATATATTTTGACCTGGTTTTATGTGAATGTGTATGGGTAGATTTGTGTATTTGGTTGAAGAATGAACATTTCCCAATGTTATAGATACAAGCAATGAGTCATACGAAAATACCAAATGTATTTGATTGCAAAATTGTTTCTTCACACTCTGACATTTATTTACTACATATATTGTGTATTAGACATTTTAATAAAATACTTAAACCTATGGCAATGGAATGTTATCCAGAGTACCATTTTCATTTCAAGAAATTCTAAAACCAACATATTCTTGTATATAATAGCTATAAACATAAAATCATGCTGCTCCCTCCCATCCACAAAGAAATATAAAAAAAAAAAAAGTTGGAATATAGATGGGTCGCAACATGATCAGTTATAATCAAAATCCACTTAAAAACACATTTGAAATACAACATGTTGCGAAATACCATATTTAACATCACATTGCCAGTATGGATACATAACAGCAAGAAGTGCTTTGGTGAGATATTTAATACAAATTAAATAATTTGTTAATGCTAACTCAGTAGCCAACACTTATTCAACTATTATACCAAATACATTATGTGGAATATGAAACTGTAAAGTACAGAATCACAAATAAATTTTAAATCTCCAAGTCAAATACTGTCAGTGTTATTATTTCAAGCTTCAGATCACATTAAATCAAACAAAGAAAAATTAGAAATTATGTTCCTCCAATATTTAATAATCTATCTTGCGTAACAAGTTAAATGCGTCGTAGTCATGACGTCATAGGATTCATATTACACTGTGCATTGACCGCTATAGACAGTGTTCCCGCTATGTGAATATGGCATTGACAAGTTCATGTGAGAAAAGTGAAATGAATGATGAAATTTGTGGTAATTTGTGAGCTGGTGATGTCACTGAAAATGTTGCCGCGGTACTGAGCAAGTTAGTGTGGTCATTCGATCACTGTGCAAATAAGGGTTAGAGGGAAGACTGTCTATCGTGGGTTATCATGGTACAATGTTGAATTTAAGGAAACACTTTAATTGTCTCTCTGACCAGTGAAGGAGGTGTGTGTTACTTACATACTAAATCTGTGTATTAATAAAGAAGGCAGAGGGAGAAGAAAAAATAAAACAAGACACATATCAGGTGTATACGTTGTGTGCACTAAAAAGTCATCAACATGTTGAACGACAAGTTCATGCACACAGCACATTGATCATCTTACAGTATCTATTAAAATCTGACAAAAAACAAACAAACAACATACCATCTAAGGCAATTCAGAAATTAGGTAATTCCCACAAAAAAGATGTACAAGTTCACTGGTAAAATAATTTAGATGCAATCAGTATTTAAATTACACAGATGAAGGCTTCTGGCGAGGTTGGACAGCACAATCAAAGACATGAATTCATCATTCAAAATATTCATATATTGTACGACGGAAACAAACTAAAAAATATGGCACACGATGCATTACTGAATTCTTTTCAACTTGATGTTTTCTATATGCAATTACCAGAGAATGTTTTGATCTATTCATTATTTCATTTCATTATTATATTTTCTATTTCATTATTTGCCATATGCCTGTAGTGACGTTTATGTCAAGAGTCAAAAATTAAAGCTTGTGTTTTTTGAGATTTTCACTTGTGTTGTAATCTTGACTAGTGATCCCTAAAGATGACAGTAAATGCAGCTTCCAAATTAATTGAGTAGTTCTCATATTGAGAGGGTGAAAAATGAGAAAGAAAAACCCAAAACAGGCGAGGTCACACCAAAATGATGTTCTTCTCTAAAACACCTTTGTTATGATGGCTGTATGGTTTACCAGGTTCACAGAGAAATTACGAAATTATTGCAAAGGTTGTTCAATTGAGACAGAAAGTGCCAAAGTTGAACCTCCCCTTCAAACGTGAGGTTTATTTGCAGGTTGAATGGGTGGGTTAAATTAAGATAGGGCTGAAATGCATATATTTTCTAGATAACTACGGCAACTAGAAGCAGGTTCCATTCATCAGGACACTCAGCAGGAAGGAGAACGTGCAGCAGCTAAAAGGAAACTAATATTCAAAACATGCACACACGTATGTTACTAATAACTTTACACATACATTATTTCACATAGAACACCATGCAATTGTTTGAAGCATCCATGAAGACAGTGATACTTACCGAAATCTCTTGAGATGAAGTCTTAGCACCTGAGGTAATGTGGTTATAAGTAGTTGTTTGCTAGCTTCAGTTTTGATGATAGGTTTTGATGATACACGCCGTCGTCTGCTGTTACAGTAATCACATTCGTACACACGGCCCTCAAGCTTTTCCACTTCTGTAAACTTTGCTAGCATTTCTACAACATCCAAAATAAGAAAAATATTACATTAAAATATTGTTCAGTTGTTCAGTTATATTTCCCTGGAGATTGCTCTTCAAAGATGCATCAGGTTGTACGCGAGGATACCAAAATTACATAAATTATATTTTTTCATACTTTAATGAATATGAATACAAAATATATTTCACAATTTCATGAAAAAAGGCAATCTGGATGTCTACAATTGCACAACGAATATGTTGAGTAAAAAAACTGAAGCTGGCAGGCACACTAAAATTACTGCGTAAAATGTCATTTCTATATCGACCTGAAATTCCCGCCCAAATACGGGAGGCAAATAAAATTAATTGACACCTAAATTTAACAGTGTGCCTGGAGATAACACTGATACTGATATATACTAGGTTGGTGTCCATGGAATGCACACATGATCAACATTCTCAAATAGAATGACCGACATTAATTAATTACTAATTCCCACATTAATTTTTCTGTCTGAATAAAGTCTGACTAAAAGTCATGAGGTTTAAGTTGAGAGGAAGCTAATAGTCATCTTCAATAATACAACAACACAACAGAGTAGGAAAGCATAAATGTCACCTGTAACATGGCAGCTATCTGTGGACAGTTCATTCCCTCTCCCGCACTGATACCTGAAAAAACAATAGAGATTGCAGATATAGTATACAAACTACACACTTGAAGCATTAACTGTACTTTTAGTGGTCATAATAATATTATAGTTGTTGCAAAATGAGTTTGCCATATATGCTAAGGCCATTTATAAACTTTGAAAATGGGTACCCTGTGCAAAGTTTAAGTCCTGTTACTGCGACTTTTAAAAGACAAATTTCTGTCAGTACGTAGCAATAAAATTTTATAAAAAAAAAAACTAAAATATAAAAGAAGATAAGTTTACATATATTGTTGGTTGAAAGCATTGTGAATATAGTGTGCAACATTAGTTAATGTACTCATATCATTAGTCTGCATTAGGAATATAACATTATCAGTATTTTTAATAATTAATTTGGGCAAATACACATGTAGGTCTTGGCGTAAAATATTAAATTTGGAACATTCCATCAGAAAAGGTATTGTATCTTCCACAACATTACTATCGCACTATCTATAAATTCTGTTCATGATTCATTTATGTTCATGATGTTTTCGGAAGGTACATCTTTTTCAATATACAAATCATGGGTATTGCTGGCTATACTAATTCTATGTGTTATATTAGTAATACTTAAGTACGGTTCATAGAAGTAATCTTTTTCAAATTTGTTGAAAGTTTGCCATTATTCTTTCTAATTTGTGATTTTCGAAGATTATTGTAGTGGCAATCCTGTGGCAATTATGTAACATCACCGTAAGCCTATTAGGGCTGGATATATATTTAATGAGGAGAAAAAAGCAAGTATTAGCCACATATACTACAGTGTAGTGGAGAATAGAAACTCACCTTTCAGGGAACTCCAATGATAGATCCCAGAATGGCTCGTAAGTATTTGAATTGATGAGACACTCTAGACAGGTGACTTGACTAACTAACTGACCCTGGAAACTTGAACTAATAATCTCGCTGGGAGTCAGCATACTACGGGGATTGGGAGACACTACGGTGGAAGACACTGCAAAATGCATCTCAGAGTTCAACTTGTCTAATAGCTCACTGAGGGAGAAGAAAAACATCCAACAAATTAGTTGCAGCAAACTAATCTTAACAGGAATGTGATCAATCTATCAGAATAATTTATATAATTTTTATTATACAACTGTCACTGTATCATAAAAAGCTGCAGCATGTCGTAATTTAGTATATCTGCATCCTACTGTATTAGAAAACAGATTTCCAAATACAGAACAATTAAACATGGTTCTACCAAGATGGTGGACAGGTCCAGGAAGTTCGTAGTGAGAAAGTATCACAAATTTCTTGGCTTCACACACAAAGCAATTGGACTAGGAGAAAATATAATACATAATACGAGGATATTCCAATGTTTCTGATAGAAACATTCATTAGTTAAATTAGGTCAATATAATTTTGGTGAGAATTGCCCACAGCTGAAATGTTATCATTATCATTAAAAAAAAATATCTGGTACATATTTGCAGTCCATACCATAGGAACTCCTGTGCATCTTGCTGCGAATAGCCTTTAAATGAGGGTATAAGTCTCCATATAGAACTCAGTATTGCATGTGGTGACACTATTGCCCATTTACCAGACCACATCACACGAAACAGTGCATGTAACTCATGACAAAGAGGTCTGTGAAGTGAAATATGTGAGATTTACCAATCAGGAATTGACGACAAGCTACCTGACCTTAAACTGGCAAGATTACTGTTACTGTTACAATATTTCCTCTATTAGAAGCGCATCTAAAAAAAAAGTGCATATGAACCAATAATTGCATTATATCATAAGGGTTTTGTAATCACACTAGCTTTTTTTACAAGAGGCGTAAATATGGCAGCCACAAGATAATCATACAATAGTGTGCTCAGACCACACCAAGTATGTGATTTAAGCTTATCTCATCAAATATGTTTGCACACTAACAAATCTGAAATAGTAATATCATTGAACACAGGCAGCAATCACGCATATAAGATTTATAATTGTCAAGGTCAATATTAAAATACTGAAGGCATCAGAGGTTCATATACGATTTTGTCAACTGCTTTATTTTCATGAGTCTTATTTTGAAGAATTTCATGAGTCAGCAAATATCAGAGTAAACAAACTACCAAAATTTGAGGCATGAAAACAATTTATAGAACTAGACCGATACAATTATATTATGATCAAATAATTCCACTTACACATTTCTTTTCAGTGTCTTAGGATCCTTGTATTTCCAGTTTTCAACTCCTTTTGACGATCCACCACTTAGACCGCCATTGCTTGCTGATTGTCTTTGCGATGAACTTGCATTTCTATGTTTATTCCTTGGCGTTTCAACTTCCTATGAATTGTGAAATCAGACAATGGATAAATAGTAGTACATATAGAATATGTACGCATACATTTCATTGTTTCAACAGTAGTGTCAGTCAATTAAATAAAGAATTTACTAATCATGAATGCATGAGGGGCATCAAATCATATAAAGATATTTGCAAAAATTCCAACAACATATTCAAAAGTAGATTCATTATTGCAAGTTGTTGCTTGACAATGTCTTGAAAGTTATGTTCTCCACCAACAACAAGAGCAGTAGTAGTGATAGTACCCAGTTAATTTTCAGACTCTAATTATTAAGCGTATCCTTTTAATTTGCGAGGTTCCAATAAAAAGATTTAAAATTGTGACCTTTTCATTCACAGGAATATGTATCATATTTTTGAGAAACGAGAGTATTTTCTGAAAGTCATGCTGTTATTTTTTTGTCAGATTTGCATACTGTGACAAACTCCATCACTTTACCTGTCAATGCCGGATCAAATCAAATCAAAAGAAATCAAGGCAAACGATTCGTTTTAATTCAAAATATTTGATTAAAATGTATTTTTTTAATTTTAATTAATTTCTATTAATTCACACACTTGAAAAAAACATAATTTTGACTAAGGCCAATTTAATACAGTAACGTTACCCAAAATAATGTTTAATACAGTAGAACTCATCCAGGCTTACCTTATAACATTCAACTGTTGTTTGCCTAGCATAGATTTTTTTTTTCCCATTTCCATTCCGATTGTCTATTCCTTTTTTTAAAAGGATGTCTGGCATGTCCAAATTAAGGAAGCAGTCACGAATTTTCTCAATATGACTGCAAGGAAATAAAAAGATGAAAACTCGGTTGTAATGTTTACATCACTGCATGTAACGAGTAGATTAAATTTTCAGTATTACACGCAGGGAATTCATATGTACCAATTACTGTATACCGACTTACCCCAAGACTTGTAATATAGAATTCATGTAGCAGGTGTTACCAAGATTGCGTAGCCCTGTAACCCCCGGTGTAATGGAGGTCCATTTCCTTTTACTAGCAGAAGATGACAACTCAGCTAGTGCACTGATTGGCCTTTTTCTATTGTTCAAACTACTAGTACTGTTTTTAATTTTACTACTGATAGCAACAGCATTATTTGCTGTGCATATGGAGACTTGTTTGGGAGGCGGTTGTTCTTTCATTTTTTTCTGTCGGCTCGATATGAGACTCCTCCAGGAAGTGAATATCTTTTTCATTAGGATGTGTCGTCGATGATACAAGGCTGTATAAGCTCTGTCCTCCATATGAAGCTGTCTCTCAGTAGCCCTGGTGATGAAACATTATTATTATTATAGACATGTATATTGGTAAGGTTTTGTAGATTCTGAGTGAAGCCAACCTCACAGAACTGCAAAATGCTACTGTTTATACCAGCACAATTTCATCTACCCAGTACAAATAGATCGGTGTATTACTGCACCATATTATGTCAATGAAACCATCACGTTCAGTGTTGTGTCATCAATTATCGCTAACCTTGTATGTTGGGGGATATTACAGAATTACATGCGAAATCTATCTAGCGAACATTTAACACTAAGTCACTTAAAATGGTTAGCAAAATAAAAAACATTTTAGCTGTACGACTCACGGGCTTTCTGTGGTATCTGGATACGGTGTAACTGGTCTCCGGACACGCCCACTTCGAGTTGACTTCTCTTCTAGATTCTGTGCTGCAATAGCAGTCAGGGTGGTACGCAGAAGTCTGATATCGCCGGCACTGTTATCATTGAGAACATAGTCATCACAAATATAGCTGTCAACAGATATAGAGCAAATCAGATACACATGTTTTTCATAGAATGGCAACTATAAGTATATAAGATCTTTCTTGTTATCAGAATTGAAGAGTGAGTAAAAGTTCAGATCTATACATATAACAACTGCAGCTATCAATTATAAGTAACAGGACAGTATCATTCAATCTTTTAGTTTTCTACACAAACTTAAATGCAAAATCAGCTTTTAAATTTACATGTAATTAAAGTAAAAGATTCTTTTTTATTGCACCTGTAGAATTGAAATAAATAGGTGAAAAGGACATCCTTCTCAAACCACTTGTAGAGAACACTGCTGACTGGCAGACTCTCAGTACATGTGCATAGAAAGATAAATATAACAAGATATTTTGTATTTATTTTATTTCTACAGAAAATATAATGAATATCTGAGGAATATACTAAACATTCACTGTAAAGTCATTGTAAAGTTGTCCCTACATTCCAACTAATCTTAAATAAACAAATAAATAAATAAATGCTTCTGTATGTTCCACAAATCTTTAGTAGGTGTGACTGAAGTTTGATTATTATTATATTACAAGCTGAAAGTTAAAGCATAAAAAAAAACCTACCAAAAGACGTATTTCTCATTAACTTCCAAAGCTACTGGATGGTGCCGTTCTTCGAAATGCTTCAAGGCATGTTCTTCATTGTATCTTCCACACGCCACATGTGGGCAGCTCAAACATGCCTGGTAGAGGACAAAGTACAGAATGTATGCCAGAAATATGAACAACGTAAGTGCTATGCATAAGGCTGTATGTGTAGCTATTAGAGATTTTATAAATGGGATCAGGACACACATGCAAGGGGAGACCAAGTTATGTGAACAATACTTAGAATTGAATACTGAAAGAAGTTTAACGATAATTTGAATAATGTTGCCATGACTATAATGAAGGGTTGAGTGTGGCGTGTCTAGTTTGTAACATAACCTTTGACCTTTGCAAACAGCTTACATGTAGTTGATTGATCCATGTCAATGGTTTTTAGTTTATTTTAATCGTGTTAGTTAAATATATTTATATATTTACATATTTAAATCTTCAAAAAGGTTGTTCATATAAATCAGTGTTCTTCCCACTGTCAAGCTCCATGGCTAATATACATAACAATAGATATAATTTGCATAATTCCCCAGAGTGTCACAATGAATTACATTATCTGCATTATTGTGGATGATCAGAGTTGCAACTGCAACTTAAAATAATGTTTCCAATATTTTATTTATTTATTCCTTTGTATTGTTCTAATTACAAATATCTGACCAATATCTATGTATCAAGTTAAATAAACGAAGTTTGAAATAAAATAGCAATATAAATTTGATGCCAAAGTCCAACGTAATTACATTAGGCAGCTTCCTAAAGTATAACATACATACTTGGCTGTGATCATTAATGTATATTTAGCCATGGAGGTAACTGATTTATCAATATTTGTCTTCTAGAGTTTTTTTAGTTAAACTAGCCTAGTTAGCAAGATTGAGAGTTACCATAGTGATTAAATTAATTTAAATTAATGCATTGGAATTTCTAAATCAATGTCAATGCTTATACATTTGTATACTATATTACTTTTAGTTTTATAATTTAGAATGAAAACACGAGTCATTGCTTAAATCAGTAAACAAGAAAATCAATATTAATATAAAGTAACTCATCCAATATTTGTGCAAAAATAGTGGCAAAATATGTAACGGCGGATTCTCGGTTAATTGATAACAATAACTGAACTGTATAAAATATCCCTGGTACAATGTACGTGTCTTCACTTTCAGGTTAGTTCTGCCGATTTCTCGCAACCAACAATGTGATTTTTCATTTGGGATTTTGAAAAACTTAACATAAACAGTTATGCCATTCATACGCACAACACTTAACTGTGTTTCAATTTTTAAATTGTCAGTAAACAAGGTCTTTCATAGTGGCACTTCTATGGTATTGACGTACTAGAATGAATCAGTGTTCACTGATGACGTCATTGACTGGCCCTCTAGAGGCGAAATAACGCCATGCACAGTGGACATTTGTCGTCTACTTCACAGCCCGTTTTATACCCGATATTTAGGGCATTTCGCAGCACATACAAGTTGTTTTTATCGACAGAATTTATTTATAGATAATAGATCTCAAATGCCATGTACAAACTGGTCTCCTTTAATATGGATCTACCCAGAATGCAGCATTTGTCTCGACATAGCGTTATGATTAGAGTGCCCTCAACGACAGATAGGCTACAGTCTGTGAATAAGGTAGGCCAAAACGTCACTAGCCATGATTGAAAGCAAGTTGAACTTTTTGACATCAAGTTTTCGGGGCCTTACACGAAGCCTGCAAAGATTTGTTAATTTCATTGATATTTTAATCATTAGTAAATGTACTTTCATAAAAAGTTTTATTTTCAACATTGGAATCAGCATTTCTTTGAATGATTTTTGTTTTGGATTTTTGTGTGTGAAGTGTCTACTCAAGGAATTCTATACCAGTAGACCAAGGTCCCTAACAAAATTTGTTAATCCAAATAAAAAATAGAATGCTATTGCACCAGCAACGTGAATATTTTTTTCTGGGCCTAATAAAATTGTTACGTAGCCTAGCCAGTACATACAAAATACTGTAGTTGGTTTGTACTTACCCAAACACTTTCAGTAGTCCCGCAAACCAAACATAACCATTTCTGTGGATTCAGAATGGAGTGGTTCTGTGCTAAACGTAGCTTGCTGACATGTTTGCAATTATCCATAGTGTGCAGTGAAATGCAGATATCGGAATTGGAAAAGTGGATTCAAGTCAATCACTGACCCTGTGTCATTCTACCATGCTGTGTTAACTGGTTTTCAATATACTATGTATATTTGGAGACATTAATATTCAGAGAATCATCAACTACAAATGAACGAAGAAAAGAACAATGGTTAAATAATCAAGAAAAACATGTGGTACTGTAAAAGGGTTAATTATTCACTGGGTTTTAATTTTGCTTATTTCGCTGACTAGAAAACGCAGTGAATATGTTTAATTTAGCATAGAACACATTATCTAAATGATAAAACTGTGAATTTAAAACCCATTGATAATGACTGGAATGGTAAATCAGCGAAATTTAAACCCAGTGAAAATTAGTCATTTTACAGTATGTGAAAACCTGTTTTTTTTTTCAGACACTCTACATGTATCTGTTTGATAACAAACATTACAGGTATACTTGTAAGCTAGACATAATACATCCAACTTCTCCGATATGATCCATGATAGCATAAAAATAAGCTTTGTTAATGGCAGTACAGAGTTGCATATAACGTATAGTGCTACTGTGTTTGATATATTTGAAAAACATCTCTTCATGGAAGCAGACATAAATCAACTATTACATTTAAGATAGTTTGCTACCATTGAAAAACATACTCTGAAATAAAAATAAATGGTCACCAAATGAGTTTTCCACAAAATGACATCGAAAGTTGATCTAAAATTCATTGTTTGCATACCGTACCAGTAGTTTACAAGTTCACAAAATGGTTTCTATGGCAGAAACATTCCATCACATCTCCAAATTTAGTTTGATGACTTATGCTAAAAAAATGATATGTAGTGTTATGAGAGCTACACAATGGCTGTCACTAAAAATTAGAGAATTTTTAATATTAGTAAAAGTTATCCATGGAATAATATGTTTACGTAGATGACAATTTTGGATTATTTTGCATATGATTTCTTGAAAATATTCTTCCATCTCTTAAAAACTTTAAATATGAATCACTTGAATGAATGTGAACCATTTTTGAATGATTTACTGTGACAGTGATCAATTTTTTTTTTTTATGTTTTATGCTAGCGAACTACCTTAATGTATACTTGATCATTAAAATAATTTATAATATAATTTATTTTGACCATAAATACAACTCTGTAATTTATATAAGCTCATGTGCTACTTTATAGAGCAAATGCAGTATCTGCAATGAATATTACCCTACGCTCCAAAAGGTGATACATTATCCCCCACAACACTGACATAACCTGTCTAGCCCCAATCCAAACAGCCAGTTGAATAATTTAAATCAGCCTAGGGTAGTCATTAAATAAAAATGTAATCAACAATTTTCACTATGTTGTAATACTTGAACATTTCGAATGTTTTCCTATATTCGGTCAGAAATGTGTCAATTTATGCCATGCTACAATCAGTGTTATTTTATCAAGTACAGACGGAATGATGACTGAATATTAACAACAGAATTGAAGTGTATTTACAT